CACGGATGGCAAAATGGGAAGGCCGCGTGTGGCAAAACGGGAAGGCCGCGTGTGGCAAAATGGGAAGGCCGCGTGTGGCAAAATGGGAAGGCCGCGTGTGGCAAAACGGGAAGGCCGCGTGTGGCAAAATGGGAAGGCCGCGTGTGGCAAAACGGGAAGGCCGCGTGTGGCAAAACGGGAAGGCCGCGTGTTGCAAAATGGGAAGAAGCTGGAGACGCACATCACCGTCTTAAGAAGACATTTCCCCGATGCAGACTTGTCACCGATCACTTTTCCGTCCTTCTTAACAGGTTTCAATTTAACCACGTATTTGTCTGTCAATGAATCATGGCAGGGATAGCGCATGGGACGGAAGGTGGAATGACAAAGGGTAGCAAGGAGGAACCGCAGCACTGAAAAAAACGGCATGATGGCCTGACTACTGCAAGTATTTGCACCAAGACGAGCTTGAAGCACTGGTGCCGGCTTGAAGCACTGATGATGGCACCAGCGATGAACGATGAAAGATATGACAGTCGATCTACCCGCAGGATCTTTCGAATAGGGACACGTATGCACATGCATGTGGAGTGAAAACCACGGGAATGAAACTCGTTCGGTTAACTTTGGATGATCGCAGTAAGGTGCACTCGCATATTGCTGCTGCTGCTGCTGCTGCTGCTGCTACGATGCAGCGGAAGGCCAATAGCGTTGCGGACTTACCGATAAGCTTCCCTTTTTGCTTCTTGGCGACCTGTACGGAAGACGCGGCGGCTGAAGCACTGCTGTCGCGTGCGAGGAATGGCGGGAAAATTGAGGCAGACGCGGCGGCGGCAGTGAAGAACGCCGCACCTGACGGGCAAGGCAGCAGCGCGGCGCGCAGCGCACGACATAGGAAAAATGAGGGAGCGTCATGACATCTTCAAAATGAGGGGACGCATCTGACATTGCTTGGCTTGCTTGGACCTCCGAGGGGTACGAGTCGTATTGAATACTGACACGAAGCTGCCAGAAACGACCGAGCCGCGCCAGAAACGGCAAAGGTGGTTTCTGACGGCGGTAAGGAAGCAGCAAAACGCTCAGTGGAAAGCGGCGGGAGTCGCATTGGTTGATACGTCATCACACGAGCAGGAAGTTAAAATGTAACAAGTGTTTACATGTACAAAATGTGGAACGCCACATCCCATGCCCAAATGTGGGTTTCCCCCATCCTTGCGCACTGTCCATTGCACGAGCAATGGCTGAGGTCACTAGAAACAGTGTTTACGAGGGTTAGCAGTGCAGAACCTATGCTGAAAAATTGGTGAACAATGCACCCCCTTCCCCATTGTCTCTGCAGCCGCCAGCAGGTTCGCACCCAACTCGCCCCGCACGTGCCAAATTGGATTGGTACAGCGTTTTTTCTTCGGTTGTGTTGGATGTACGGTGGTTTCGAGCTTGCGCGAAACTAAAAACAGAATTCAGGTCGAAGGAAATTTTGTGGCGTTATAACAGAGCAGACTATAGCGACATTTTTTGTCAGATAAGGTTTTGCTGACGTGTCAGGAAACCGCGTCACTTGTGAAGGTGCGTTGTCACGATCTGGTGTGACAGCACGGATGGGATTTGGACTAGTCTGGGCGAACTGAAGCTCACAAGGTAGGGTTTCCAATTTTTTCGCTAGGCATCGTCATGATGCCTCTGAATCCGTATGAGCGGTACGTTCAAACCGACTCCAGTTTTGACGACCTCGCGAACTAAGTCGCCAACATTTCGACAATCTTCACGTGCGACCCAGCACCACACAACAGCACCCCATTCAACACGCCTCTCTCTCACAACTCATAATCTTCCACAGTCAGGCACTTTCTATTTCACTCCAGTATTTCTATCTGTTTTCCTCGCTCAGATTGCACGAGTTAATGGCTGCTGCAGTCTATCCGTTCGTTCCTTACGTTCACATTGCTAACTTATGTTCTTTAATCTGTTCCTACATCCTCCCTCCAGCAGGATAAAAAAAAAAACCGTTGTGCTGGACGATTCAGCTGTGAAACTCGCCCAGGCTGCATGAAACTTGCGATGACGCTACCTTTTGACGCTGGTCCGGTTGTGTGCACATTCATGTGAGTTTATGTTCCAGGCAAGTACGCTTTGGCTAATGCAAGCACCTATGTTGTTGCAGAATACAAGCGCGCATGACAACGCTTATACCAGCGACTTCCGAGATTATCGTCAAGCCTTCGAGAATATTGTCGCCAAATTTTTAATATCTTCCGGAAGATTTATCGCCAGATTATTGCAAAGTTCATCGCGGTTCCTTCAGGGCCGCCCAGCAGTGCATTTCCAGGCATATTAAGGGCATGACTGATTCGTAGGTGCATCTCTGTTAACCTTTGCTGTGTGGACCTAACTCTGCTGCTTGTGCTACTGGGTGCAGAATCTCTTCCTGGTCAAAATGAGCTACTGTGTTTATTATTGCATGATAATTGTGCTGTGTGTGGATGTTGTATGCGGTATCTAGGATGTTGGGGTTTAATTGGTAAGGCCGACCAGGTATTGTAGTAATGGTTATTGACCTGAGGTTGCGTTGAAATAGAAGTATTGAAATATAAGTACTACCAATACTTACAGTTCCTAGCAGAGAAGATAATTCATGTGTCATGCTTTTACGATTATAATAGTACCTACCAATTTTGCATTTTCTCTTTTTTCGTAATTAGTTTATGATAAGCTGAGTGTACTGTGAAAATTTATCCGTTATTAAAGGCGCCTAAATGATTTGTTTTGCTTGCTGTAGTGAGGATGAGCAATGCTGGTCGTTGGCTGGTGCACTGCTTGCCGAGCCTGGTCAAGATTGCTCATGCAAACCTTTCAATCATTCCTCAAACAAAGCTCAAGCGTGAAGATTGCTCTAGCTTTTCACATGATAAACCACGAGCATTGGTGGCAGGAAAAAACATCAAGCAGTCCCCATGAAATGCTTTTGCAGTCTTTTTCCTTCTGAAATTTTGTAGAGCAGAGGAGGACGACGAAGAGAAGTGGTGGCGCACGCTCCATGGTAGTAGCACTAGCCGCAGAGGAAGGGAGACTTTGAAAGCTTGCACACTGAAAATGAAAACCCAGAGCTACTAGCAGAGATGACTGTATGCTGGTGAATATACCCCCGTCATATACCCCCAGCATCCGCGTAAGAGGGATGCGTTTATTGATTCCAGTTCCTGACGGGGTGACTGGGAGCACCCCGACCCGAGGCGGCGTGAGTGACTAACATTGCCCTGCATGGCGAGGCGAGCCGCGGGGGCAGTCGGTGAAGCTCTGAGACGACAGCTCGAGCTTAGTAGTGGACGAGGACGGAGCGCGATGGTTTCGTATGCTTGAAGTAACGAAGTGAACTGAGTTGGGGACGACTGTGCTTTGGACGAGTCGCGACGAAATCAAATCAGCCAAAACAAATCAGAAATCTTGAAATTGATTGGGCAGCTAGGCTGTCACCTTCGAGAATCTACCTACCCTGATCGAGGCGTGTGAATTAGTAGTTAGATTTCTAGCCGGGCAGAAACAAAACAGTGTACCGTCAAGATCGTGTTCCATGAAACTGTCAAGTTGTGTCATTTGTTTTGACCTGCTTATTCGGTGTACACCTTCGTTCTCGGCCTTCGCACCAGCGGAATTAGTGGACGTAGCGGGCTGGTGCGATACGGTGTGTCTGCTCTAATCTCTAATCCAAATTTCTTATACTGAGAGAACCACTTACTACAGTAGAAGAGATCAACGCAACTCGCATCTCGCATCTCTACAACATACGGTAGTAGAGAATAGCTCGGATTGCCGAATCCGAACCACACACACTCAAAGAGTAGATCCCATGCCTTAAAAGTTGTACACTGATGGCACCTCATTTATTGCGCTCCAAGGCAGCAATGCCCTGTGTCATTTTGCCATTTAATTCACACGTGGTTGTATGATTACCCATTCCTTGGGTGTTCCTCCCTCACTTGTGTTGCCTTGTTTCTTGCACCTGTTACAAACTGAGGGTCGAGAGAGGCCACACTGCCCCTGCCCCTGCCCCTGCCCCTGCCCCTGCCCCTGCCCCTGCCCCTGCCCCTGCCCCTGCCCCTGCCCCTGCTCCTGCCCCTGCCCCTGCCCCTGCTCCTGCTCCTGCTCCTGCTCCTGCTGCTGCTGCTGCCGCTGCCACTGATGGTATCACTTCTGGTGCTGTGCTGCCATGGCTGCCGGTGTTGATGCTGCTGCTGCTACCTTTTCATTCACGGACCATGAAGCAGAGAAGTGAACACCACTGCAGGGGAGCAATCGAGTCACCAGAGGGCAAGAAACCAGTAGGGAACTGCTTAGGGTGCAGTAAAACCAGCTGCTCCAGGGAGAAATCATGACAGGCGTGTTTCACTAACGCTGCAGCCGCCGCCGCCGCCGCCGCTGCTGCTGCTACGTTTTCTGCTGCGATGAAACCAGCGCAAGTCAGCAACGAGGGGTGCGCGCCACACGCAGAGGGCGTAACGGGTACGATGCTGCAATGAGCCAGGGCGCAACAGGTCCTCATTGCAGAGGGCGCGCGCCACACGCAGAGGGCGCAGCAGGTCCTTTGAAGACCCCTTGCACACAAGACAACACAGCGGAGAGCAGAGGCGCAGGCAAGGTGAAGCACAGGAGAGGCGAGGCGAGGCGAGGCGAGGAGAAGGCACAGGTGGGGGGTCTGGTTGTAGCCGAGGGGCTGCTGATGATGATTGTGTCTTGGCAACGAGTGCTCTTTCTCCGCCTTGCGCTCTGCCTGCTCCTCTTGCCGCTCGTGCTGCTCACGATGCTGGTTACCGCTCGTCATCTCCCCTTCAGCCATGTGCAGTGAACTTTGCAGCAGCAATCTCAAAGCATGCCATGCTAGTGCTCTCCTGCTCCTGTTGCCCCCGCTCCTGTGGCCTTGCTGCTGCTGCGGCTGCTGTTGCTGCTGCTGCTGCGGCTGCTGCTGCGGCTGCTGCTGCGGCTGTGGCTGCGGCCCTTGCTCAGGTCAAAGCACGGCGCGCACCCGCTCAATCACTGTCGCTCTCTGCCCCGTTCATCGCCTTGAGCCCACGCGGCTTCTGCGGGATGTCATGCAATCGGGAGCAGTAGGAGTAGCGGGAATGCAGTGGGAAAGTGTATGGGGGACTCGGAGTTGAGGTGGCAGGGTAAGAAGGGACACACACACACACACACACACACACACACGTGCACGGCAGAAAGCCTGATTTCTAAGTTGGCTCAAGGTATACGTGAGATCAGGCGAGGCGAGGAGACGCACGCAGAGCTGGGGCGTTGACGGAACGTGGCGGCAAGATAGAAAGGCAGCACGCAATGCCGTGAGCTATGATACGATACGGAAAGGGAGGGAGGGAGGGAGGGAGGGAGGGGGCCGCACCTTCTTGGTGCACTTTCTCTCGCGAACCTCGTACCGCTCGCGGCTCACGCCTGTCAGCCACGCACCGGGCAGGAGACGCTGCAGGGGGGTGAGGATGGGGATGGGGATGGGGATGGGGATGGGGATGGAGGGAAGTGGAGGACTTTTAAGGGGCCTTAGAAGCACTTTCTCTCGCGAACCTCCTACTGCTCTCGACTCGCGCCTGTCAGCCACGCACCCAGCAGGAGGCGCTGGAACGGGGTGAGGATGGGGATTGAGCGGGAGATGGAAAGGGAGGAGGGCCGTGAGTGAAGTATGGGCCGTGAGTCTGGGGGAGAAATCCACTCCTCCCCAACCCCTCCGAGTTGAGTTTTGAGACGACTAAAGAAAAAGCCCCCCCCCCCCCCCCCCCCCCCCCGTCTTCCTCCCTTCCAAATCAACCAGTGCTCTCCCCCCTCCTCCTCTCGCCTGCAAGTTCCACCTTCCCAGCCCTTTCTCTTCCCCCCCTCCCCTCCTATAACCCTCTCCATTGTCTTCCTACCCCCCTTCCCCTCCCCATGCCTTACCTGCAACCCTTTCTCCACGAGTTTCGACCGCTTCTTGGGCCGCTGAGGCAGCTTCCCCCCTTTGATCGCCCAGAAATCGTCCTCCTTCTCACTCCGCGACAGGCTCAGCAGGAACCGCGGAACCTCCGCCATCTCCGCGCTCCCTCCCCCCGCGCCCCCTCCCCCGCCCGCGCCGGCTCCCGCGCCCGCGGGCCCGTGCCCGCCCCCCGCCGCCCCCGCGCCGTGCGCGCCAAACGCGGAGGGCGCGGGGGCAGAGTGCGGGTGTTGGGGGTGATGGGGATGGTGATGGTGGTGATTATGATGATTATGATGATTATGATGGTGATGTCTTAGATCCATGGTTGGGTGGTTGCTGTTGCTGTTGTTGTTGCTCTGGTGATGATGGTGGTGGTGGTGGTGGTGGTGGTGATGGTTGGGGGGGTGGGGGTGGTGCGGGGGGTGGTGCATTGCGTACGCGCTTTCCCCCTTGTGCTCCCCCTTCTGCTGCTGCTTCTGCTGCTTCTGCTGCTGCTGCTGCTGCTGCTCTTGCTTCTGCTTCTGCTCTCCCTTCTGCTGCTGCGATGAGTGTCGCCCTTCCGTTCCGTTATGCTCGTGACTGTTTCCGTCTAATGCGGCGCGTGCCCCGCCGCGTCCGTCTCTTAACTCCTCGTTCCCTTGCGCCGCCGCGGATGCCGCCGCCGCCGCAGCCGCCGCTGCTGCCGCGGCGGCGGCGGCGGCAGCGCGGGTCCCCGCGCCCGCGCCCGTTCCGCCTGTTCCGCCAGCGGCAACCCCGTTCGCGGCCGATCCGGACGCGCCTTCCCCCGCCGTCGCCGCCGCTGCCGCGTGCCTCCGCCGAAGATTCGCGGGATGCTGCGACTGCCTGTGCGCGACGTCCGGCTCTCCCTCGTGCGACGCATTGCTGCTACTCGGGACGCGAGTGCCCGCGCGACTCGCGATGCTGTTCCCTTCTCCCTGCGCCACCGCCGCCGCCGCCGCCGCCACCGCCACCCGCTTTTTCCGATGCGCCTTTGCCAGCCGCTACCCGCTCCCCCCGCTCCCCCCGCTCCGCTCTTTCCGCTCTCTCGCTCTTCTCCCCCTTTTCCCCGCCCCCTTTAAGTCGAGATCCCTCCCTCGTCACGGCGGTTTCTCTCTCATTGTGCGCTCCCGCGCTTGCGCGGGGAAGCGGCGGGGTTTGCGCGCCGTTGGCGGAGTCCTTGTGCCTGATGGGCGGAAGATCCGGGGCGCCGGAGCGGAAGCGGAGGGATGGGGACGGGGGCGGGCACGCGGACGGGGGACGGGGAGGGGGAGGGTATGAGAGGAAGACACGCGCGGAGTATGAGAGCAGGCGGAGAGGATGGGAGGATGGGAGGATAGGAGGATCGGGGGAGACAGGGTGGGGGCAACAATGAGTGGAGTGCGCACGTGCGTCGATTGGGGAAAAGGGGCGCGGAAGGGGGTAAGACAGACGAGAACACACGAGGAGCGGAAGAGGCGCGGCGGAACTTGCGGGACGGGATGGCAAAGGGGGAAGGGGGATGCGAGATGCGGGGAAGCGCGGGAATGTGCGGAAGAGAGAAGGGGAGGGGGGGACGCGGAAAAAAAAACCCGTTCCTGCGACTCATAACGAGTACGTCTAACTTTGCGCGCAAGCGCTCGCGCTTTCGCTTGCGCCTGCGCGGGCGCCGCTGCCGCTGCTCACCTCTTGTGAACTTGCGGCGCGGCCGGTGACGCGGAGTTACCATGCGACCCCTCCGCGCCGCTCTTCTCGTCCGCATCATCCGCGCCTCCGCCGCTGCTACTTCCCCCGCTCCTACTCCCCTCTCCGCTTCCGCTTCCGCTCCCGTTCCCGCTCGCGCTAGCGCTCCTGCTCCTCCCCGCGCCGGCGCGAACGCCGCCGCCGCAGCGGCTATCGACCCGATCCGCGCCGCCACCGCCGCCGCCGTCGTCGCCGTCTCTTGCGGCGTTGGATGCCGGAGTCGCCATGACCCCGTTCTTGCGCGATTTCTTCGGCTCCCAGTCGTGCGAAGCGCTGCCAGGCGACGAGTCCTTAATCGACGGTGCGCCTCCGCCTCCGCCTCTTCCGCCGGCAGCCTGAGTTGTGCGATGCGCGTCGTCGGAATTCCGCGCCCGAACTCCAGGCGACGCCGTTCCCCCCGCGGTTGCCGCCGCCGCCGCTGCCGGGGACGAGTTATTACTGGCAGCTGCCGCCGGCGCCGCAGCCGTCGGATTACGCACGTATCTCAGCCGCTTTTTCTGGCCCCATCTTAACTCCTCGCAAACCACAACGCGCCGCACTACGCGCTCCTCCTCCCCGCCGCTGCTCCCGCCTCGGCTTCCACTCCCGCCGGCACCGCCGCTTCCCCCCGCTTCTCCCGCGTCGCCGCCTCCGCCGCCGCCGCCGCCGCCGGAGCCTCCCAGTTGCTCCACCGGGAGAACGACGCTCGCGATTTCACACGCTTCCATAGTAGCCGCAGCCACGGCGGCGCGCTTAAGAGATCTGGCAGGCGAACCGTCAGATGCGGTAGTTGGCGGTCCTTTTTGGAGCAAGAGCGTCAACAAGAGCGTGAGATGGGGCGTTCGCGAACAAGAAGGTTTCGCCGGCGCTCGTTCGCGAAAGCTAGTGCTGGCTCAATGCGCTATGAGGGCTCGAACGAAAACTGTCCGCAGGCGGCTCGACGTAGTGTGGACCAATGGGGAAGCGAGCTCGAGAGAGGGTTCTTATTGTGTCGAGTTTCGCGGCGCCTGGAAAGCCGGGAGGGGAAAGAGGCAAGCGGAAAGGTGAAAAGAGGCACGGGAAAAGAGGCACGGGGAAAGAGGAACGCGGTAAAGGGGAGCACTCTCGATGGATCTAGGCAATCGAGTTAAAGCAGTGGCGCGAGCGGCGAGCCGCGACGAGCAGCGAGCGACGAGCGACGAGCAGCGAGCGACGAGCGACGAGAGGCAAGAGGCGTGCGACGAGCAGCGAGAGGCGCGCGGCAAACGGAGAGCGACGAGCGGTGAGCAGGCTTAGACGGGATCCTTTGTAGGTGTGACTGTTGAGATCGACGGTGATGCGAGTGCAGGCGCGAGAAGCCGAGACCAATGCGCGTGAGGATAGCGGAGACGACGACGATAACGCGCGAGTGACGCGCGAGTGACGCGCTGACGAAGATACGATACGATCTCGCAAGAGAACTGATGGCAAGAGCCGTTACCGTTACCGTCGCCGTTGATTCCGCGGCCGGCCGTGGCCCGCAGACGACGCGAGCCTTCTGGCGAAAGAGCGTTATTGAAGGGATCCAACGCGAAGAACACACGGATGCGTGGTGCCCTTGAGAAGACCATGCGATGGTATGAGCTGCTGGACGTAGTTTCGCGGGAGCAACGCGCGGTGAACAAGCTCAATGCTTGAAGGGCCTAGAGGATGATTGTAGTCTGGTCGCAAATGCACAGGTTTTGCCGCGAGGCGCGAACGGCATCACCTCAGCGTGAAGAGAAACAGAGAAAGGCGGCGGGGAAAGCGGAGAGCGAGGCCGAGTAACGATCGAAGTGAGTAGGGTAGCGTAGCTATGAAGGGGGTAAGGAAGAAGGAAATGGATGATGGTGAGACGGGCTGTAGGGCTTTCAGGAAGTCGAGAAAAGGGGCTCGAGCATGCGACTGCGAAGCATGGTTTTTGCGACGACTGTACGACCGACTGGGAGCTGCGACGGGGAACCCGCGATGTCGTAACGAACCGTGCGACTGTTGGAAATGCACAGTGTGCGAAGAATTTGCGCGAACACTGTTTTGTTGTGGGGAGGATGGGCTGTGGAGCGTTTCAAAAGTGCGGGTGGTGGAAAATGGTGCGGATAGGAATAGAGAGGGGGGAGTCTGGGGAGTGCGGCTGGGTGCGGGGAGCCCGGGGGATGTAGGGTGTACGGGGAGCCTGGGGAGTGCGGGGATCCCCGGGAGTGCAGGGGGAGTGCGGGGGGCCTGCAAGTGCGGGGCGTGCGCAAACTGCTCACCCCGTAAAGGTGAAAGCAGAGGCACAGTGGCTGTGCGCGTGTGACTGGGGCGGGGCGAAGGGGTTCTTGAGTTCACCCCTCGCAGGGAAGCCTAGAGAACAAGGGCCAAGGGAATAGGTGGTGGGTGGAACACCCTCCTGAAACAAAGGTCCGTCCGTGGGCATGCGCGAGAATAATCACCTTCGCATACCAGTGTTTCTTAGCTAATCCTTCGCAAAGGTCGCCAAAAGTACGCTTTTGTCGACAAATTTTCCAACAAGGCCCTTCGTGCAGATGTTCCACAGTAATTTACGCTGGATTGCCCTCGTGGAAGTCTGTTACCTGGTTTGCGGGGGAAACAAAGTTTTGCTGGCCGCAACACGCCACCAGACAGAATCTCTCACAGCAGAAGACGCGATTGGTTGGTTTTGGTCCGCACCTCGTCGAGAGGTCTGGCAGCCACAGAGACGCGTTTGATTGGCTAAACAAGATGGTTTGATTTCCCACTTCCTTGTTTCTGACACAAGGCTCGACATTTGAGCTCGCTGGTGTCGTTTGAAGAACAGCCTCGGGTGTGGGTCAGTCCCGAGAAGCAGCACTTCCATTTCATTTGCCCAAGTTGAGCGTCGCCTCGACGGGCCTTGTTGGGCGGACGCCTTTACTCGGACCTCAGGCTTGTTCGTTAGCAAGGATTTCGCCAACACGCGTGAGATTTTGCGAGATTTTGAGAGAGATTGCGAAGAACCGTGTTACCCCAACAGCCACGCCCGTGTCTTTCATCAGTGAGTTTTGGTGCGGTATAGTGTGGTGATAGTATGACATTACCTTGTAATACCTAGATCATGTATTGATAGGACGTCATGGTGAACACACCAACACTTGCTTCACTTCTGGCTTTGGGTCTTAGCTCCATGACAAAACAAGCGTAGGGAATCATAGCAAACCTAGTGAAACGATACCCATTGTACGCAACACTATGCTGGTACATGCAAGAAAGAACAAATGGAACATGACATGACTTCACAGCACTGCTGCAAAATCAAGGTACGGTACCGTACTACATACAACATCAAAATTCAGAATCAAGCCCTTCTCATCATCACGCCCGACTCTCTTCGCCCAGACGCACTCGCTTCGCTGTAACCCTTTCCTGAATCAATGCTGATGGATCCACCCTCGCTACCCTCCCACGAGCTCCCAATCCCAACACCCCCCGTTCGCCTCTTGATGCGCGTGGTGAGTGGGAGCAGCAAGCGATAGAGTATCCAGGTGACAAACGGCGCGGTGATGAGCCATGCAACCACCTGGGAAGAGAAGGGAGGCACACGGAGGGGAAATCCAACTGAGGTAAACCAGGAATATGCGCGTGGTGAGTGGGAACAGCAAGCGATAGGGCGCGGTGATGAGCCATGCAACCACCTGGGAGAATAGGGAGGATAAAAGAGGATACAACCGAGGGGAAAGCAGAATACAAATTACAACATCCGTACATGGGAGATGCACGAGAGTGGATGGCATGAATGTGTGGGAAGGGAACATACCATGCCACAAGAATCAGGGGATACAACGCAGGTGAGGGGGGCGAGGGGAACTAGGGAAGCAGCAGCAGAAAAAGTAGCAGCAGAAGCAGCAGAGGGGATTTCCCCTCTGCTAAAAGCAACCCACCGCGTGCACAAGGCCCATGAGCAGACGCGAGGAGGATTTCCCCGGGAGCGCGCCAAACAGCGCTGACAGTGACACTGAGAGGATTTTTTAACGCGCCTCGAAATTTTCAGACGATTTGTGAGAAGCCTCAAAAAGAGCAACCCACCGCATGCACAAGGCCCATGAGCAGGCAAGAGGAGGATTTCCCTGTGAGGTGACTTTGAAGTCAACTCAAAAGTCAGAGGCTGAGGCTAAGAGCAACCCACCGCGTGCACGAGGCCCATGAGCAGGCGCGAGGAGGATTTCCCCATGAGAGCGCCAACCAGCGCTGATGGTGAAACGGAGAGACGATCCGCTTGGAATATAAACTCGCCCAGCCGCATGTACGGGATGATGAGGCTGGCGAGAGCGGTGGAGACGGGTGGGGAAGGGTGGAAACGGGTGCTGGGATATGATTCAAAGTGAGCGAAACAGCCAGTCACAGGCAGGGAGCAACACCGAGAGTCGATCCGCTTGGAATATAAACTCGCCTAGCCGCATGTACGGGATGATGAGGCTGGTGGGGGCGGTGGGGAGGGGTAGGGACGGGTAGGGAGGGGTGGGGAGAGGTCGGGAGGGGTGGCAAGGGGTGGGAAGGGTTGAAGAGGGGTGCTAGATATGATTCGATGTGAATGAAAGAGCTAGCCCCAGACAGGGAGGGGATGACAAAGCGGAATTGTCCAGCTGAGAAAAACCAGTCGCGCCTGAGTTCAAAGGGCGTGGCGAGGAAGGGGCCTGCCATCACGGGTGGGGCATAGGCGGCTTTCGAATCGACTCAACAACCTGTTCCACCGAAAAAGACAATCGCAGTCGCACCTGAGTTCAAAGGGCGTGGCGAGGACGGTGGCTGTCATCCTGGATGGGGCATGGGCGTGAACGCCTCACACATGCACCGACTGGGTCGAGTCGGAATGCCACTGCGCTGGACAGCACTGCGGTGAGGCCTGGCAGAGTTTTGAGGCGTCTCAACGCGCGCACCTGAGCTCAAAGGGCGTGGCGAGGAAGGTGGCTGCCATCATGGATGGGCCATGGGCGGGAAGGCCACATGCATTGAGAAGGAACGCTACTGCTGTGCACAGCACTGCTGTGAGACCTGTTAGCGGGGCAGAGCGTGTGAGAGTGAGAAAGAGAGTGAGCGCAAAAGTGAGAGGGAGAGTGCGTGAGTCCGGGCGTGAGTATGGGAGTGAGAGCACAAGTGAGGGAGGAGCGAGAGCAAGAGAGAGGGAGGAGCGAGAGCAAGAGAGAGGGTGCAAGCGGGGAGCAGGAGTTTCTGGCGGAATAGCGGCAATGATGAGTGCAAGCAAGCGGAAGGTTGATTTCTGAGTCGACTCAAAAATCGACTCATCGCGAGGGAGAGGGTGCAAGCGGGGAGGGGGTGTTTCTGGCGGAATAGCGGCAGTGATGAGTGCAAGCAAGCGGAAGGTGAAGCAAGCGGAAGCAGTGATGAGATGGGTGATCTG